ACATGTCACTGTGCCCAACTTTTTTTTTTTTGTAGAGACGGGGTCTCACTTGTTGCCCAGGCTAGTTCAGAACTCTTGGCCTTAAGTGATCCTCCTGCCTTGGCCTTGCAAAATGCTGAGATCACAGTCATGAGCCACTGTGCCTGTCCTGTATTGGTTTTGTTGTTGTTGTTGTTTAACACTAAATTAATCTCTTGAATAGAATTATTTTAAAAAGCACCCATGGCTACGACACAAGCTTCTTATTTCATTTACTAACTTTTGTTTCTTCCTTTCACAGGTTATTGAAGATCCCATACAAGTAGAGCGAGTCAAATTTGTGTTTGAGACAGAAAATGGATTACTAGGCAAGTATGCCTGACCTTATGCACAAATGTCTACAGTAGATATGTGGATAGTCTATTGTTCTGGCCAGTTCTGCCACCTGCTGCTCTCGGTGGATCTACAGTGACTCATACAGTACAAATCTGGTCAGGGCCACTGGGCTTCCTCATTCTGATCAGAAGAATTAACACCCAGGGATCTTCTCACCCTACATGTTCTCCTACTTTTAGTCAGTAAGGTGTAGCTTGGCATTATTTTACCAGATCAGGTAGGATTCAGGAGTGCTGTGAACTTTATTCAACAAGCTAATGCCCACTCCCTGATGTACTCTGTAGCCACTGGGGAGAGAAAAACTGAAACCTGAGACTCAGGATGTTGTCAGGCTCATGAAATGTGAATGTCTTTTTACCTATGGTTTGAGCGTAATCATATTTTCACTGTATACTCTTAAGTTTTTTTGGCAGGACTTTCTTTTTCAGAAGGCTCAATTGACTTTCCTGAGCTATTTATTAGAAAAGGTTTAGTTAAGAATAATTTTAGCCAGCTTCCACCATTTACCTGTATTTCCACTAATCTGAGTCTATTTTAGATTTTGCTATGTATTAAGAGATTTAGGGCCTCCTTTTGTGGTAGAAAGGAGATTTAAACTAAAAAGTTTTGTAGCTTCAGCTTTTCAGGCCACCATTTGGAATGGTGTACTCTAGTCAGAACCATACACAGGCTCTCTGGAACTTAAAAACTATAAACTCCTCAAGAGCAGGACCAAGTATTATTTTTTTTATTTTTATTTTTTTTATTTTGAGCCAGGATCTCACTTTGTTATCCAGGCCAGAATACAGTGACATTGATCTCAGATCACTGCAACCTCTGGCTCCTGAGCTCAAGTGATCCTCTCACCTCATCCTCCCAAGTTGGTGGGATTATGGGCACATGCCACTAGCCCTGCTAAGTTTTATATTTTTTTAATAGGGTTTTGCCATGTTGCTCAGGCTGATCTTGAGCTCGTGACTTCAAGTGATCTACCCGCCTTGGCCTCCCAAAGTGCAGGGATTACAGGCAGGAGCCACCATGCCTGGCCTATTTGTGGTTAAATCCCTAAAACACAGACCACGTGATAATTGCTGCACTGACCCTAGTATCATAAAATTTCATTTATCAAATTAAAAGTGTTATAACTACTGTCAGTAATATGGCATGTGGAAAAGTCTCGAGGTGAATAATCAGGCAGTAAAAAGTTTTGTTCCTGTTCAGTCCTCCTAAAAGTCAAACTTGTGGCACCATGTATGTTTTTTTTTTTTTAACATACTTAAAGTAGTGTGTCTTTCTACCCATTAGAATTTGGAGATTCTGTTAAGTCAGGCACTGCCATGCTTTTAGTTAAGTTGTTCCTTATCAGTTTATTAAAATAGTTTGCCAATTCTTAGAACAAGAGAGCTTGTTGTTACTTGGAGCCACTTTCAGTTGAGTGCTTTATTGTTACAATGTCCTCTTCTCTTCCTTCAGCTTTGATGCACCACAGTAATCATGTGGATAGCAGTCGCTGCTACCAGTGTGTTAAATTTCTTGTCACTCTTGCTCAAAAGTAAGTGCCAACTTTAAATGCAGGGAGGAAATGGTGTTTTAATTACAAGTCAAATATGACCAGAAGAAAAACGTGCCCGGTTTTGATACCTGGAGAATCTGACTCAGTCAGGGCATGCTTGCTTGGAAGGTACAGAACCCTATTAGAATGAGCTCAAAAAACTATGAGGGGGAGTATTAAAAGAGTAGCATATCTTAAAGAATCCCAGAAAAGGTCACCCACCAGACCCTATGTCAGAAGGTCAGGAATCAGGGCAGATATGGAAGCCTTAAGAGCAAGAGTTCATGAGCTTCAACTCAAGGTCTCTCAATAGTGTAACCCAGCCACCAGCTCTTCAGGCTCTAGGTTCCAACCTCAAAATAGCCTCTCACACCTGTAGCTCCTGAGTGTTTGTGAACCCAGGCACTGTGCCAAGAACCTTGCCTGTATTATCTTATTTTATCTTTATAACAACTTCAGGCGGTTAGCACAGGCGTGAATCACGTATCATGGGTGGTTTAAGTGACATGCCTAGGATCATAGAGCGAAAACTTGAACACAGGCTGATTGAGTGCAAAATGAAGGTTCTTTTTTTTTAATTGTGATGAAATGTATATAACATAAAATTTACTATTTCAACCATTTTTAAGGGTATGGTTCAGTGAGTTTAAGTGCATTCACATTGTTGTGCAACCATCACCACCATCTAGCTCCAGAACTCTTTTCATCTTTTGAAACTGAAACTCGGTACCTATTGAAGAATAACTCCCTATTCCTCCCTTCCCCCAGCCACTGGGGAAGCAATTCTAATTTCTGTCTCCATGAATTTGACTACTCTCGGAACTCCATTTAAGTAGAATCATAAATATAAAGACAACTGAATTTTAATGAAATTAGCATTTACATTTCAAAATAGAGAAGTACTAGGAACAAGTATATTTGCAAAGAAAGAACTTGGCTAACAAAAATCTCCTCGGTCACCAGGTGTCCTGCAGCTAAGGAGTACTTCAAGGAGAATTCCCACCACTGGAGCTGGGCTGTGCAGTGGCTACAGAAGAAGGTAATTGAACATTGAATCTTTCTAGCTGCAACACAGGAATCAATAATAGCACATCTTGTCAGGAAAAGTCTCTGAAACTGAATATGGAGACTAACCGTAAAGTGTTTTCAGATTTCAAACGTTTATTTGGTACAGTTTGTATCTTTTTTTTTTTTTTTGAGACGGAGTTTCGCTCTTGTTACCCAGGCAGGAGTGCAATGGCACGATCTCGGCTCACCACAACCTCCGCCTCCTGGGTTCAGGCAATTCTCCTGCCTCAGCCTCCTGAGCAGCTGAGATTATAGGCACACGCCACCATGCCCAGCCAATTTTTTGTACTTTTTTAGTAGAGATGGGGTTTCACCATGTTGACCAGGATGGTCTCGATCTCTTGACCTTGTGATCCACCCGCCTTGGCCTCCCAAAGTGCTGGGATTACAGGCTTGAGCCACCGCGCCCGGCCCAGTTTGTATCTTGTATGCATTAATTTTGTCTTAATACATATGTCTTAACTTCATAGGGGAAAAGGTAGGGATGATGATGTAAGACTGAGGTCTTGACTGAGGTCTAGAATTTGACTGAGGTCTTGAATCACCTTATGTGATGGAAGGTCTGAGTAGACTTACACCCTATTTTGGATGCTTTTAAGACTCAATATCTAATGGTAGAAGCTGTGAACTCACAGGGGCTTATTTGTCACCTCTGATGGCATTTTTGACCTTTCATTGCAGATGTCAGAACATTATTGGACACCACAGAGTAATGTCTCTAATGAAACATCAACTGGAAAAACCTTTCAGCGAACCATTTCAGCTCAGGTGAGAGTCGTCTTTTGTATTCGTGTGATTTAAATCCCTTATGGAGGATTTTCAGTGTGTTTCTCAGAAACTGCAACCTCTGAGAAGAGAGATATGAGTTGAAAATGAAAATAAGCAGAAGAAACAATTTAATTTCTATGAAAAGACAATAGATTGGTGTACACTGATGCAAATATGTGCAGATTATTTGCCTAAAAGGAAAGTCATACAGGTTGGGCAGTCTAGTCACAAAAGTGAACAGGGATTGAGGGGTTCTAGTGGCTGTGATGAAGGCCTCACTCTCAGGCCTCTGGTACCACAGAAGGCCAAATGAAAGGTGGTCTTCCCTGGTGGTTGCTGCCGCCACTGAATGGCCCTTAACTTTGTCATCTTGTATTTGAATCTTTTGCAGGACACATTAGCGTATGCCACAGCTTTGTTGAATGAAAAAGAGCAATCAGGAAGCAGTAATGGGTCGGAGAGCAGTCCTGCCAATGAGAACGGAGACAGGCATCTGCAGCAGGTATAACTGTCAGCATGTCCTTGTGTGCAAAGGGCAGCCTTGCTCTTAAGCTTTCCAAAAAGAATTTCCACAGTCCAGGAAAACAAGATGCCTCCTCTGGAATGTGAGTCCAGAGAGACACCAGCTCTGCCCTCTAGTGCTCTCAGCTCAGCACACACTAACCGTGTGTTTATAGGGCTGAGCAGTGCTGCAGTATGAAGTGAATGCAAGGCCTTCATAGAGGTGTCTGTGGCCAGCCACCCTAATCAACCTGCAGGTAGTCCTGATGAAGACAGGCCACAGGTGGATTTGTTCCAGCTTGTTCACTTTATTTTGCCAGGTTACTGAAAGTCCCTCTTTTGCTCTCACCAGCCTTCCTGGAAACATGGATGCATGAAAGAAAAGTTCCCATGCCCTTGAAATACACCAGGGGAGTCCAAGAAAATTCTGATGTTTATTTTTTTTAAAAAAAGAAAAAAAAAAAAAAACAGTTTTAATACCAATCATGATAGTAGAAAAAGAATATAAATATGTATTGAACACTCACTGTGTGCAAACACTGAACAGTGTAATTAATTGTAATTATTAAATCTTTCCAGTAGCCTGTAACCTTCCTTAATAGCGGTCTCTTCTGTGGTCCCTTCACAGTACTTGGTACAGAATAGGCCCCATTAAATGAAAGTTGCTGATGTAGTGGGTGTCTTTTTTTTTTTAAGTGTTACCTTTCAGATCCTCATAACCACCATTTGAGGAACTGTCACCCTGATTTTACAGAAAGGTAACTGGCCCAGCACAGTGATGTGACTTAGCCCAAGGTCACTCCACACGTCACCTCATCACCTGCTCCATTTGCAGAGAAAATAAAAGTGGTCACAGGAGAGCTCCTGTGGCCACTAATTCCCCAGCATCTGCTCTGTTCTTGTCTCCTCTCCTGTGACAGTGGGAAGTTTGCCTCTGTCCACCCAAAGCTCATCCCCACCATGGCAGAGCGTTGCATTCTAGTGTTCCTGTGTGCATGCATGTAACTCTTCGGTATCCGGAACACTCCCTCCCTGCTAGACCCTACCCAGCAGTGTCTCAGCACACTGCTTCTCTTTTGTTCTGTCAAAGCCTCTCCCTGTTGCCCCTGCCTTCTTTCCTCTCTTTGCAGCCAAACTTCGAATAATTCTCTAAACTTCACTTTCCCCATTTTCTCATCTCTCACTCCCTCTTCAGCCTCTTCCCCCGACTCCCTTCCTCTTCTCTCCACCTCAGCAGTTGGGGTGACAGGTGACCTGCATCTTGCAGACCTCATCTTAGCTGACTCCCCAGCATCCTCTGGCGCTCCTGGTGCTCTTCCTGTTTGAAACACTCTCTTCCGGGGCTTTCCTGACACTTCTCTCTCATAGTTTTCCTCGAACCTTTCTGGCTGTTCCTTCTCCATCTCCTTCCTAGTACAGCCTCTTCGAGGCCACCAGTAAAGGCTCGTGGAGTCTCCGACCTGTGTCCTCCTGCCCACACTCAGTACTCTCTCCGCACTCACCTTGGATTTCTGGACATGAACAGCGAGCTTTCTTGTTCTCGACATTCTCTACTTGGCATACCTTAAAGACCTCAGACTCAACGTGCTCAGCCCCTGCTCCCTGCCCCCTCCGAAGCTGGCCCTCAGTCAGTGTTCCTTATCTCACACACAGCACCCCCGTGTCATCCCAGACAGCTCCCTTCTAAAGAGTGCTCATCCCTTTCCTCCATCTGTCTAAGCCCCTCTTCTCCTGATCTCTGTAAGGATCCTCTCACCTCCAGTCCTGCTTCCCTCTGGGTCACAAGCTAAAACCTTTCAAAGGCTTTCCTTTACTATGAGGAGAAAAGCCAGAATCCTCAACCCAGTCCTGCTTGATCTGGCCCCTGTGCACCCCCCGACTCCATTTTCTGAATTTCATTTATCAAATGTACTCTCTTCCTTCCACCTCAGACCCCTCCTACTCACCCCAAACTCTCACTCAGTTTAGGTTGTCACTTCCAGACTGTCCTTGCTCCTCCCCACCCCAGCGTGATGAGTCCCACAGCACACAGTGAGTATTCAGAATGATCACCACATGTGTAAGCCAAAGGCCGCACAGATGGTAACAGAGGCAGCCTTCAGACCCAGGAGTGGCCCAGAGCCCATCTCTAACAGGTGCATGGCAGGGAGTCACTAATGCCTCTCCTGGCTTTATCACTGCTCTGTCTTCTCACATGGGTGTGGAGTAGCGTTGTGACTTTAGACAAGTCACTGGGTTGTTTCACTGACTAAATGAGAGCATAGAAATGTATATGTTTTACATAATAATGAGTTGTCAAATGTTAGATGTAATAGTTATCATGTTTTCTTACCCTGTCATAAACACTGCATTAAATTGCCAGGCAAAGACATGTTTAAATTTTAGAACACAATTCAGTTGCCTTAGAAAACCTTTTCTCTAACCATCTGAACTTTAGCTTCCTCTTCTTTTCTTCAGGGTTCAGAATCTCCCATGATGATTGGCGAGTTGAGAAGTGACCTTGATGACGTTGATCCCTAGAGGCACGTGCCCAATCTGAGAGGAGTCAAGTCACAATACTGGATGCTCATTACCTTCTTGGAGTCAGAATTTCATCCTTGAACCTTTTGGAAGAACCTGCAGATTGGACTGGGAAAGCTGCTGTGACTTCGGCGGATCGCATATTTCTCAAGGAAAGCGTTTTTAGGCCGCTAGCAGGTTTGGGAGCTGTTTGGCAGTGAGAATTCCGGCATGTGGATCAGCTGTCCTGGGAGTGCGGTCTATATGTGGATTCACATTTCTGTGGAGATTTTCAGAAATAAAGCCAGTGGCAGACTTTTTTGTTACATGAACATACAAGAGTGAGCATAAAGCTGTTGCTTTCTCTGCAATGCTACAAAAGAAATTCCTTTGGTTTTTATATTTTAAGGAAAAAAGCAAGCTGCTTTTAGATATATGGGGGCAAATTTTTAATCTTGCAGTAACATTGAACAGGAATATCCAATTTAAAATGATGTAAACATATGTGATAAAATTCCTTTTCATTGTAAAATTGTAGTTAAAGAAGTCAATTTACACAGACCTTTGTATTTAATATGTCTCCTTATTTGTATAGAATTTCACATGGGTCTAGATGAGAACCCTATGCATAAGCTTGAATCTTGATGAAAGGTTACCAGGATCAAGATGAAAAATTGGGAAATATTAAGGTCTCGAAGGTATTTTTCTGATATAATTGGGATTGAAAAGAGCAATTTTTAAAATGCTGTGTTCTCCAGAAGTACAGGGTGGATTCTTTGACATCAGTCACTTAAAGAAGTTATAAGTTGTTTCCCAAACAGATTTTTAAAACAGCAAAATAAAAGCACTTTAAGATATAATTTTACTGAGTTTGACTTCACAAAATTATCTTTTTAATGCTTGGAGACATATTGAATAAACTGTAGTCTTAAATCATGTGATCTGCAATCATTTGCTTTTGCTTAAAACATAATTACTGAAACCCTTGGTGTTGGTTGTATATGAAGTTAACCGTTTGAGTTGGTACATACTGTTTGCGAGTTTCATAGTAATTTTAATGCAGAGAAGGAATTTGAGAATTGTTTCTCCTCAACATGACTAATTAACACCGAAAAGACAGTCAGGGTTTAAGATTTATTTTCCCAGAAATAAATATAAAGCAATTGAATAACCATCTATTTAGTTGTATTTCCAAAGTATAGCACCATTCATTCATTTATACCAGCTCCCTTTTTGGTGGGGGAGAAAAATGACACCCACGTATTTCATAAATATTTTGTACATTTTGTATTTTGAATTGCTCACATTTTCAGCCCTGTTTTGCCTTTAGTTACAGGTTCTGCCTTATTTTCCTCTCACCGTGCACAGAACTAGGGAGCTTTAGGAAGTGCCAGGTTTCCACTGTCAGTGAGATTTGCCAAGTCACAGAGGCGCAGCCAGCCCCAAAGTCTGGCTGCTGTGGCATTGTGTGGGCACGTGGCCAGGCAGATGGCGTCTCATTGCTGTGCTCTCGCCGTGGCCCAGTCACTTCATCGTCTGACAGTGAGGGTTTCTGTGCCGTCAGACTTCACTTTGTTATTCTGTGACTTCCTGGAGGCTCGGGATGGCCTTTGTCAAACACGCGAAGAAGATGGAAGGGCCAGCACTTAAGAGCAGAACTGTACCCTTAGAGAAACAGACAGAGGCGAGTGGCAAACTTCAGACAATTCCAATGTTCTTGCAGTTTGAAATGTCATGTTCCAGCATTGGTTTTGAGTTCGTGAATGCTTCATGTCCTACTGTTTCCCCTACCCTCTCCTCACCTTCTCTCCACCCCCATCCTCACCAAGAGATTGTGTGGGACGTGACCTTGAAATGCTGGCAGTGATCCACGCTGGGATGTCATCGCTGGCCACTGCACTCTCAGGAGCCCAAAATCAGGAGTGAAATCGCCACTTCTAGTCCCCTTATTTCCTATGGAAACAACGCCTTCCACACCCCAGCACCTGCTCTCCTCACTGTAAAGCTTCATCAGGATCGCCCACAGAATATATTGTATGCTTCAATTCATGTTGCTTACGTCGTTGCTGCAGTGACCATTGTTTTCACTTTGCTGGTAACCACTTGATTTCTGACAGCTACAGTCAGTGAACCTGCTGATGACTTTTTTTAATGTACAACAGTGACAATTATGACAGGCTTACCTTGGAAGAGTTGTCATTTTTACTGCCAATTTTTTGGATGAAGATGTTTTTATAAACCTTTCAAAATGGTCTGCAAACAGAGCAGGAATTGCACAATTAACTCAATGCTGTGTGTTCTCAAGCAGCTCCCTTAGTGAGGCCAATCTTAGGATGGCCGATTCTGCCCGCTGAAGGCATCCTGGGAAAGAAAACAAGCATCCCAGCGGGCATCTCACCATGACTTCTCCTGCAGTCCTCACATAGTCACTGACAACTACAATCAGTTTTAGGAACTAGAGCGCCGTATCATCAAACTTACCCTGTCCTGCCCCGCCTTCCCTGCTAACATTGAGGTGTGTGCAGTTACCTTTTGAGCTTGGAACAAGCAGACTGGAATTTTCCTCTGCTACCTCTTGTGTATAAAATCTTGTTTATAAAATTTGAAACGGAAGTAGATACACTAGGGAAGAACCTTAATTCAAAATTTGGTTCATGCGTGGCAAAGTTCTTAGCTTCTAAGAGTATAAAATAAATTTTTCAAAAACATAAAAGAGTTGGTGTCTCACGATTTTTCATACAGCAGAATACAGCCGTAGTGGGCGGCGGAACAGCACGGGCCTGTGCCTGGTGCTAAATGGTATTATGATTCCTCTTAGCACTTAACACTGATAAAGGAGACTGTGGGTTCTCAGCCTTTTCTGTTCTTTCGTCTGGAGAGGCTGACTGTTGTAGGATTCATCTGCAAAGCTTAGAGGAGGATGCTGAACTTAGGTTGATGGTCTACATTCATCTCCACCAAAGCTTTCCACTTTCCCAAGTGGTCCCCAGCATAGATTTGTGTCACTGGTCACGCTGGGCTTCTTGCTAGATTGCACAGGTGTCCGTCTCAGTCCTAGTGTCCAGCGTTGCTCACATGGGTTCCCTTCCCTATTTGCTAGTCCAGATCTTCTTCCTGCAAGTCACACCCCTTCCTCCCCCATTCCTGGTGACCATCTGCCAACCCTCTGCAAGAACCAAGTTGTCACAACATCACAGGGCTGTCGGTGTGGATATCTAACCAGCTGACACATGATATCCTGGGGAGGGAAGGAGAGTGAGAGTCCAGGGCTGCACAACAGGCATAGGTTCCAATGGGCAGAGATACACAGGGTGTTCGAGCCATTGCCATCTGTCAACTCTTGAATGCTTTCCATATATGACACTGAATTGTCCAAAAATGTAATCTGGGAAGATTTTTGCCTGAGATTCCTGATGACATGGGCTGTGTAGAGATAGAACTTGCTTCAGACAGCTGTCCTCACTAACCTTAGAGTGGAAGGGCCAGGAGGTCCCACATTGAATGGGATCATTATGCACTCTGTAACCCAGGCTACAGTGCAGTGATGCAATTATGGCTCATTGCACTCTCAACCTCCCAGCTCAAGCGAGCCTCCCACAGCATCCTGAGTAGCTGGGACCACAGGCATGTGTTATCACACCCAGTTAATTTTTTATAATTTTTTATAGAGCTGGGGTCTCACTATGTTGCCCAGAGTCTTGAACTCCTAAACCCAAGCAATCCTCCTGCCTCAGCCTCCCAAAGTACCAGGATTTACAGGTGTGAGCCACTGTTCTGAATTGTAAATCATGAAAGATGGCCATGGACATAGCACTGGCTCATTACAGAAGCATCTGGCACTAACTTATCCCATAAATACTCTGGGTCAGGCTTTGTGCCAGGTACTGGGGAGAAAAGAATGAAAACGGCATTGGGAGATCAGGACAACAGAGCATCTAGCGTGCCGTAGGGCACCCGTCAGCAAGGAGGAGGCACTTTGACTGCCAGGGTGGTCAGGGGAGCTGCAGGAAGACATTCATTTCACTCCCAGGACAGGCGTAGGAATAAACTCACATCACCAGTACTTGTCAAATACTTGTACTCAGGATACAAGAACTCTTCAAATACTTGGCTTACTCAACTATTTAACAAACTTACCCAGGTCCTAGTACAAGCAAGCCATCACCCTAGGTATTCAAGTCTAAGCAAGAGTCAGGGACAAAGTTGGTTTTTTATTTTAAAAAGTCACCATACTAATAAAAATGCTACAAAACCCAGAATAAATATCTTCAAGTTACAAAAGCAAAACAGGTCTAAAAAAGCTGGCTGTAAAAAGGCAAGAGAGGACAGGCCCAAAAGATAAATGTCTGCTTGCTTGGGTGGGGCTGGTGCTCAAGGAGGGACACTTGTCCCTCTCCACCTGCCCCATCCCTTAGAAGCATCTCCACCAGGCCACAGTGAATCAGGCCGAGGTGATACGGGAAAAGTCCCGTGCCTGCAGGCGTGGTTCTGCCATCACTCACCGAGCTTCCTGGTCTGTGTTCCCCTTCCCTGCCTCACTGTTACCTGTAAAAATGGGGTGCCCAGCCAGGTAAAGTAAGAAGAGGCTTGGCTTCAGAGCCAGCACAGTCCGGGTTTCTGGCTCACTTCCTGGCGGGGTGAGCTTGGCAGGCATGCCCCCTCTGGTTCCAGGTTTCTTCCTCTGTAAAGTGGGGGTGCAAATGTGTACTCTGCCAGGTAGTGGAGCGGGTTGGCTGAGACGGCACGTGCACCACTGCACACTGCGGAGTCAGTCGAGCTGACGGCTCCCTGCAGGCCACCCCTTGGGTTAATTAGCACAAGCTGGCATAGAACAGAGTAAGGGGTGGCTCAGGAAACCAAGGCACAGCCCATGACCACCAGGGACACATCAGTCTCCAGCCTCTGGTTACATGCCATCCAGAAAGCTGAGCCTCCATTAATCAGGGAGCCCTAAGGGGCTTCACAGTGAGCACTCACCCCCTGACAATGCTTGTCCCTGAAGCCCCTACCACCTCCTCCCCTACCCATGGGAAGAATCCTGCCTTCTTGGTGGAGACCTGAGGATTGAATGCCTGGCACGGAACAAGAGTTCAATAAAATCATTCTGCCCACAGGCGTCAGCATGTTGGCAGCAGCTGGCAGAACCTGAGCACAGCTCCACTGTTTCAATGGTGAAATGCTCCACAGCGAGGGAGGGAGCTTCCTGGCACCTCCACCATAGGAGGGGGCATCCAGAATGAGTGAGTTCCAGGCAAGAAGCCCGCCCCATGCAAGGGTCAGGCCAGCAGCTCCAGGAAGGTGTAAGTATCCCTGTCTCCTCGGGCCAGGCCATGGAAGGCTGAGGTAGGGGCAAGTCGGAACCATTTGAAAGCTCAGCCTCTGACCCTCCCCAGGCACCCGTCCTGAGGTGGGGCTGTCACTGGAGCTCCTGGGAGGCCTGCGCCAGGTGCCGGCTCCGGCAGCAGATGGCAACGGCTGCCACAGCCTCTTCACTGGTGCTGCCTGTGGTGCTGACGTCCTGGCTCCTGACCACACACGTGTCGTCTACAGCATAGGCCCCCAGGATGTGGGAGGTCCCAGGGAGGGCACTGCAGCCCGTCAGGGTCCAGCCCTCCTCGCAGGCCACGGTGACCTGCCAGAGCCCAAGAAGAAGAAGAAAGCACATGTCCATCATGGCCGGGACCCTCACTCAGACTTCATTTCTCTCCCGCCCCGACATCCCGCTGTGGGGCTGAAATGCAGACGGCCCTCGCCAGCTCAGGGCCCATTTGGGACACAACTGCTTATCTCCAGCCCACACCTCCTGCCTCGGCGGTTCTGCACCCTCACTGACCAAACCCGTGAGCTCCTGCTTCATGCCTGCGTTGAGGAGGTGCGGAGACAGATGCCTACCATGCCAGTGCCAAACTCATCTTCCCTCTGAAACTGACGACCCTACAGCTTGTCCCATCCCACTTAATGGCAACTCCATCTGTCCAGGGGCCCGAGCCTTGCTGCCGTCCTCCCCTTCTCCCGCCCACATGCAGCCACCAGGCCTGCAGGCTCCCTTCAGACTCCAGTATCTGCCACATCTCCAGCCCCAGGCTGAGCCCTGCCCCAACACCTGGACCCTCCAGTCTCCCTGCTTCTGCACAAGGCCCTGGTCATCTCTTCTCAGCTCAGCAGCTGGGCTGCAGTGAGATGTTCAGAGCCAGGCCAGATCACACTCCTCCTAGGCCAGACCCCTTCGTGGCCCTCAAGTCTCACCTGACTTGGCCCTGTCCCCTCTGAGGCACCCCCCGCCTCATAACTGCTCCTACCTCTCTGGCCTCCTGGTACCCCCGGGCACATCCCCCTCCCAGGGCCTTTGCTCTGCCTAGAACGTGTTCTCTACCCTGTCCTCATGCCTGTTTCCTCCACCTTCTCAGCAAGACCTCTGCTGACCTCACCCCCACGCCATTCCCTTCCTCCATAGCATCTTTTCAGTATTCTATCATTGACTGGTTTGTTCTCTGTCCTCGCCCACTAAAATAGATGCTCCGGGAAGAAGAACAACATGTCTGACCGGCCTGTATCCCTCCCCAGCGCCTGAAACCAGCAGCACCTGGAGCCTAGCAGCCCTCAGTGCACACAGGGCAAGTGGATCCAAGACCAAGACAGTCTTTTGCTCTCGAGGAATGCACCATCCAGACCTGAATGAACACAGACTTGCATTTTAAAACCAAGTCTGAGTTCACTTAAGAGTGGACTCCTCAGGGTTGCCTTTTAAGAAGCTCCCACTGGCTTTTAAAAAGGAGCGTTACAGAGCAACTGTTGGCCATGTCCACACCCAGGTTTCTAGAAGGCCTGGCTCTCACATTCCAGGGCTTGGCACGTGCCTCACTAATCTCAGCAGAGCCCTCTCTCGCCTTGCTGGTCATGCTAATAACCTTCAGCCTGCAGCTCAGGCACCCCCTCGGGGTCATGGCTGAGAGCTCTGTGTCCTCAGAGCCCAGTGCTGCTCCTGACCCTGAGAACCTCCCAGGTTTGTTAAATAGATCTGTGAGGCCAGGTGCAATAGTTCCTGCCTGTAATCACAACACTTGGGGAGGCTGAGGCCAGAAGATCAATTGAGCCCAGGAATTTGAGAACAGCCTGGGCAACATAGCAAGACCCCATCTCTGCACAAAGTGGAGCGGGGTACCCACGTAGCAAACCTTACTGATCTGGACAAAAGCAAAAACAGACCCAGCCACACACAAACACATACATGTGCTGTCCACACAATGGCCAAAGCTGCCCACAGCATCTACCCACAAACCGCCACTCTGATGCATGACCATGTCACAGTGGTGGCACAAACTGACATAGAGAAGCTGCACAGGACAGACACACACCACCCTGCGGCACCCCACCCACCCGGCCCCACGCGCCTCTTCACCTGCTCCTGAGGGGCCGGGAGCCCATGCTCCTTGACTTTGCATTCCAGACCTGGGGCATGGCAGCAGGTAGCGTGGGTGCTGGCCCCGCTGTGGCCCATGCACTGGCTGGGCTGACCTCCCGGCCTCAGCACAGGCGGCTTGTGGGTGCCAAGCTCCTCCACCTCCCAGTGGGCGCTGCAGCCTGGGGCAGAGGAGGGCCAGCTCAGATACCGAAATGCTGGGACACTTCTTCTCCAGTGCCCATTCCCATCAGACCGTCTCTCTTTAAGGTCTGAGGCAAGAGCTACGAAACCCAGAAACAACTCAAAGAAGAAAAGAGATGCTGGCCTGAGCACCAGGACTCCTGTGTTCTCAACTCCGCTGCTGACCAGCTGTGTGACCTTGGGAGAGCCATTCAACCTCTCTGAACCTTAGTTTCTCAGGAAAAACATCATCTCCTCTCCACCCAGAGATGGAGGAAATGAGGCAGGGGATCCATGGCCTCAGATGCTCAAACTCCCCCCAGCCCCTCCCCAGGCAATAATTGCCTATATCAGAGACTAAATTTTAAAGCAATGGGTGATGACAACAATAGTAACGATAGCTAGAATTTCTATTGTCCCAGCACTAAGCTAAGTGCTTAGCACCCATCATTTCCTCTGATGAGGCAAATGAGGCACACAGAGATGTTAAGTAACTTGCCCAGGTCACACAGCTATTGAGTGGCAGTGAAATTAAACCAAGGTCTGCCCTCCGTTCAGCCCAGCCTGGGGCCTCTCTTGAGCCACCTCTGCTGCGCTGCATCACCTTAGGCAAAGCACCTGCCACGCTCCCGGCCAGTGCCCTAGATGCTGCCCATCTCCTCGCAACCCAATGAGGCAGCTAATACCCTTTTCCCTCTTATGGAGGAGGAAGCTGAGATGAGGAGAAGTAAGGTCACCTGCCCAGGGTCAAAGGGCATGGAAGTGGCAGGACCAGAGTATGCCATGGAAAGTCAGGCTCAAGTCTCACCGATCACACTTGTTAGGGCCAAGCCTCGAGGGCAGTGGATGCATAAGGAGACAGGGAACCCTCCTCACCCCCGGGCAGGCCCAGCCTCCTACCTGTGAGGACGTGGCCCTGCTGGTGGCAGTGGGCACGGGTCCCCATGCTGGCCCCAGCTGGTGGAGCTGTGTGGATGCTGCAGTTGGCCTGGGGTAGCAGGCAGCACCTGGCAATGGCATAGACACCCTTGCCCCCAAAAGCGTTGTGGGCCAGGCAGACCCGCCTGCCCCCTTGGGCCTGAGAGTCAAAGACAGAAATGGGAATCAGCTTTAGAATGGGCTTTGAAAACACAGGAAGAGACTAGACAGGATCAGCTCAAGCACCCTCATCAGTGTCCCTGCCAGCCAGACCCTGCTTCTAGCCTTCCGGGGACAAAGAGCTCGTTCCTGCCCAGGGTAGACTGTTCTGCCAAGGGGCAGCTCTGAATACTCGAAAGTTCTTCCAAACGTGGGGTGATTTCAAAATGGAGATATACAGAGAAATCCAAGAGGCCAAAGCAAGGACCCAGTCAGCTCCACCCCACCCGCTCTGCCTCTCACATGAGCACTGGGACACCATCTCCCAGGCCAGAAATGCCTGCCTCTCCTCACTCTCCTGGCTGGGCACTGCCCTTCCACCAAAATGCTATGGCCAGATGGCATCTGTGCACTATCCCGTAGCATCAACACCAATTCCCCCTTTTTGCTGGTTTGAGATTTCTCAGCTCCCAGAAGCATGGAGCATCTGAGTGAGATGGCTGAGTCCAGAGTAGCATGTCCCTGACCCTCACACTGCCCTGCCCCACGCTCACACCCAGATGGGCGCTGAGAATCCATCCAGCACTGTCCTGCAGCCTCCAGGAAACCCTTCTTGCTGTGGTTCTCTCCAGCAGCCTCCAACTGAGTGAGATGAGGAGTGTCCCACTCCCGCTCTGGCCAGCCCTGAAGCTTACAGAAGGGCTGGAGTCCGGAGGACAGAGGGGCTTTCTGGGGGTCTCTGAGGGCCCAGTGCTGACACACATGTGTGCACCTGCACGCACACACACACGAAGAAGGGGTGCGGTCACCTCGATGCGCTCGCCCCGCCGCTTCCCACTGCTGGAGAAACTGGAGCAGCTCAGCAGCTCCTCATCTGGGGCACACCGGGCCATGGCTGTGGCCATCCGCGTAGGCCCCGAGTGCGCTGACCACACAGTCCTGCAAAACAGCTGCCAACCTGCAAAAAGGGCCCAGGGTGAGGAGGGGGTTCTGGGAGTGAGGGGAGCTCCACCACGGACCCTAGAAAAATCTTTAGTTCATGTGAGAGGAGGGCTTAAAGAACATACTCAACTGTCTGTATAAAAACATGTTATGAAAATATTGCAAAGCCCTTTCAGAGCCCCATTCTCATTTAATCGTATTTAAGGTGGCATCATCCTCCTTACACAGACAAGGGAGAAGGGAGAGACTGTCAAGGTCACACACACCTCCCAAGCCCCAGCCTGGACTTGCCCACCCTGCCATCCTGCTTACCTGCCCCATGGGTGCTGGGAGGCAGGGCGGCCACCAGGTTGGGGGTCAGTACCCGCTGGTCCTCAGGGAACCAGGCCTCATTGATGACGTCTTTGGCAGAGAAGTGGATCAGTCTCTGCCTCAACTCGGCCAGGGTGAGCTCCGGCTCAGCAGACAGCATCACAGCTGCAATACCTAGTGAAGGGGTGAACAGTGAAAGATGAAGGTAGACTGTCTACCTGCCCCAGCAGGGGACTCCTGCCCATGTCTGAACACATACACATACACACAAACACACATGTACACACACCAAGCTCTCTTCCTGAAGGTAGACTGTCTACCTGCCCAAGGTGGCCTGGCCCTCCTGCCCCAGCAGGGAACTCCTGCCCATGTGCACACACACTCACACACAAACACACATGCACACACACAGACACCAAGCTCTCTTCCCAAAGGTAAACTGCCTACAGTTCCTTACTCAGTAAGGTAAGACAGCCTCCTCTCACACCTCTAAGCCTTGGGAGTTGCTGTCTTATTGGGCAGGTGAGCTCCTATTCATCCATCAAGCTCCAGATCAAATATCCCTCCTCCAAGAAGCCTTCTCTGACCCTCGGGCTGGGCACGTGCCTCCTCTGGGCTCCCTCTAATACAGGCCTGACCTCGTGTTCCCTTGGTGCACTCACCTCCCTCATCAGACTGAGGCACCATGAGGCCTGCCTCATCTCCGGTCCCCCCGCACAGAGCCTGGCACAGGAGGTCCCGGCACAGACCCTGACTGCCAAAGGGGCTGTTAGCATCACAGTGGCCGAGGCGGTGGTGGGGTGACTCACCAGCCACATGGGCAGCAGCCTGTGATGTCCCACTCCGAGACACAAAGCAGGTGCTACAGTCGCTGGAGGCACCAATGATGTCCTCCCCTGGAGCAAAGAGGTCCACACAGCGGCCAAAGTTGGTCCCCAAAGTCCCCAGGGTCACTGGCTGGTCCTGGGCATTGGTGGCCCCAACTGTGATGACCTGGAAAGGTGAGGAGGTGGGTGGCAGAGACAGGAGTCCAAGAGAGGGGTTGCAGGGGCAGACTGAGGCCTTGACAGCTGGGCTGGCCACCTGCTGTACACCTGTTTGGGTTCCATTCAAATGTCCCCTCCTAAAGAAAATCTGACTTCCCAGGCCGAATTCTGGCACCCCTGCCCGCCCTGGTGCTCCCCTCCGTCCCTACCATAGTCAGGCACCATTTCCAATGCCCCTGTGGAGCTTACATTCTACTGGGGGAGAGACAGTAAACAAACAGGAAACTATTCGGTTTATCAGGTGGTCCTAAGTGCCACTGGGGGGGAATTAAGAGGGCAAGGCAGAGAAGATATCATGGGTTTTGTTTGCTTGATGCCTTTAAATTCGGCCGCCAGGGAAGCCTCTCATAGGCCAGGGAGGGCCTAGGGCTGCACCGTCAGGAACGCATCTGCTCCGCAATCCCCGCCCCCAACGCACACGCATGTGCACATACAGGAGTGCGCACACACAGATCTGAAGTTCAGACTTGAAGTGGAACAAGATTCCTTCTCCTCAATGTCCTGACAACTGGACACACAGTAGGTGTCCGGGGAGTGGTGGTCAGAAAAGGAACGGTCACTGCCCCCCAGCTCCTCAGGGCAGAGGCTCCGTGTCTGTGTCCCCGCAGCCACACTGCACCGGGCATGCGGCACACGCTCTGGATGTTCCTCGGGTGAGAGGTCTGAGCCCTCAACAGCTCCCATTCTCATTAGCCTTGCTCAAGTGGTCACTCATGGAGCCACGGAGGGAGCTGGACAATGGGGAGGCCCTAAAAGTATTGGGCAGAGTACGCAGGACCTGGGGATGGAGATGGGGAAGGGGCGGGTACCAGGAGACCTTCAGGCCCGAGCACACCCACGGGGAACCTGGGGGCGTGGCTACGTGGACGCCGCCACATGGGGGCGTGGCTGGGCCGCTGCTGTTCAGACTCTGGGATGGTGGAGGTTCCAGCCACTTTGTCCCCAGCCTCCCGCATGGCTGGGTCGCTGGCGACTCCTCCCAAAGCTAGAAGGATTCGGCCGCAAGAAGCCGACGGGGCCCGCCTGCCTTGGGGCTGCAGCCTTAGCACCTGCCTCTCCGCCCTCCGCCCCCGGCCGTGGGGCAGCAGCCTCAGCACCTACCTCGGGAGCCGAGGCTGGGGAGTAGAGGCAGGCATCGTCCCGGAAGTTGCCGGCAGCGGCGACCAGCACAACCCCAGCCCTCGCCAGGCGCTGGCAGGCGGCGTTTAGGACCCGGCTGTACCCACCCGCCAGGGGCAGCAGCACCACCAGCGGCCCCACGGGCTGGACCAGCTGGCTTTTCCGAATAAACTCCAGGCCTGGGAGGACAAAGCCAAGGTCACCCCCTGGGGAGACCTGCTCCCCTTCCCCAGCCCCTCCCTTACAGGCACAGAGTGATAGTTAATTTGGGGGGGATCAACTTGGTGGCCTGATATTTGGTCAAAAGTCAGTGGAAATGCTGCTGCAAAAATATTTGTTAGATGTGACTAACATTTAAATCAGAAGACTGAGTAAGGGAGGTTACTTTCCATAACGTGAGTGGGCCTCAATCAACTGAAGGCCTTGAGAGAACAGACTGAAGTCTCCCAGGGAAGACGGAATTCTGCCCAGGACTACCTTAGGACTCAATAGGGCAACATCAAATTCTGCAGGAATTGCCAGCCTGCCTGGCCTGCCCTGCGGATTTCAGACTTGCCAGCCCCCACGGTCACATGAGCCAATTCCTTGAAACTCTTTAATATATACATCCTACCTGTTCTGTTTGTCTGCAGAACCCTGGCCAATACAAACTGGAAGATATTAGCAATCACACCAGCAATCAAACTAGCCAACCGTGGGTCCTTCTGTGTGCCTGGCTCTGTTCTAAGTGTCTAAATATATGAACTTATGGGATCCTCACAATAACCTTATTATCCCTTTCCAGGAAACAGAGGATGAATCTCAGAGGAATGAGAAGGAGTGAGCTGGGCCCTGCCCAACTTCCCCCTGCCAGTCTCCGAGAGCGGGCTCAGATGCCCCTCCACCGTGGTCGCAAGTGTTGGATCCACACAAACTCAAACGGAGTCTTGCTTGGCCTCTCCCCAGCTGTGTGGCCCCACCCTCTGTGAAACAGTGACAGCTGCTCCCAGGATTGTCTGAAGAATTAAAAGCCTCCATGCCCAGGGCCCCCATACCATAACTCCCCACCCTTGAGGGTGTGGTTCTCTGGTCTCGGTGGCACTGCATTGCCCCATTTTGGTGCAGACCATGGTCTACCTTATGGTACTCTCACCAATGACAGTTCTAACCCTTTGCCAGCCTGTGAGCTCTGGCCCAGTGGCCTGGAGACTGGGGGCCTAAATCAGCTCTGGCCCTGACGTGCACGGGGACCTGGAGCTGACAGCTTCTTCCCCGTCAGATGGGGTGTGGGAGTCTTCTGCATCCTGGCCTCTGAGACATCTCCAGGAGCCGTGGCCAAGGTGGGAGTTGGAATCCCACAGCCATGCTCCTCCTAGGAGACAGCTAGTGAGGCCCCTCACACCACAGAGGGAGGGAGCGGAGTGGCACTCAGTTTGGAGATGAAGAACAATAGCCACATTTACAGCTACTAGTTATTTATTTATTTATGAGACAGAGTCTCAATCTGTTGCCCAGGCTGGATTGCAGTGGCATGATCTCGGCTCACTGCATCCTCCACCTTCAAGCAATTCTCCTGCCTCAGTCTCTCAAGTAACTAGGATTACAGGTGCCCACCACCCTGCCCAGCCAACTTTTGTACTTTTAGTAGAGACGGGGTTTCATTATGTTGGCCAGGCTGGTCCCGAACTCCTGACCTCAGGTAATCTGCCCACCTCGGCCTCCCAAAGTGCTGGGATTACAGGCAAGAGCCACCGCGCCCGGCCTGCAGCTGCTAGTTAAGCACCTACTATGTGCTTATCTCTTTGCTCAGACTCAACACACAATCACCTGCTTACAGAGGAGGAAACAGCGGTGGCAATGAATGCAATAGTGACTGCTGGGTCCCTGTCCCCTGCCAGGTAATGCAACAGGGGCTTCCCATGCACTGACTGGGACCCCAAAGAAGGGACTTCTCCGGGAAGTCCTCCAGAGGCCAGAGCACCAGGCCTGGGGAAGCCTTTCTGTGAAAGAGCAGCCTCCCCTCCACACACTGACCTTCAGGAACTGGCCTGCCTGAGCCGAGGTCAGTCAATAAAAGGGTGGGACAGGTACGAGGGGTCACCTGATGGGACAGAAGGTTGATTCTTACCTTTAAAACTGAATTTCAAAACCTGTACTCTGTAGGAAAGTCTCAGGACAGAACTAGTGGAGCACAAGGCAGACTCCTGGGCTTTCTCAGCCTTTCAAACAGTCCCGTGGGCTGCCTCTGCCAGCTCCAGAGCCAGTGTTTGACCCTGGGGCCTGGGGCTTGCAGTGGAAGTCAAGCTGCTGCCCAGAGCCAGCACCTTCCCCAGTGAGGTCACCAGCTTGAGCTGTGTGACCCCGGGCTGTCCCCTCCCCTCTCTGGACTGGTTTTATCAACTGTTTAGCAGCGATGGCAAGGCCAGCCCCAGGACATGCTGCACAAAGGCCTTTGCTCAATGTCTGGCCACAGCAGGAAGTCAGGAAGAGACAGCACCCTCCCTCTTCTCTGTCCACAGGCCTGGAGTCCTAGCTCTCAGCTGGACTTCACACGGGGCCTGCCGGGTGGACAAAATGTAGTCACCTGCAAAAGTCTAGAAAAAGTCCTCTGCCGTTCCTCCACATGTCTGCCTGGCCAGGGTGACCTGCAGGGCCCAGTCATGCAAGTGAGTGAGTCCCCTGGTCTCAGAGGTATGTAAGCAGAAGATAGAAAAAGTTTGCTTCGATCACCTCAAGTCCCTCTACATGGAAGATAACATCACAAAAGACATAAAGACGTCACCGGATTTGAAAAGGGGAGCAGTGTGGAATTGTGGAAAGGTCACTGACCCAGGGTCAAGACTGAACTCCCTGGCTACCTGCATGACCCTCTCAGAGCCTGGGTTTCTTCATCTACACTTGTGGCCTCCGGGGACCCTGCCAGCCCTGACACTCTGGTTCTCCGGCTCTGTGGCAGAGGCTGCCACAGCATTCTTGATTAGGAGACATTAGCTCTTCCTGGGCCCAGCCCAAGCCACCTCCCAGGCCAGGTCCATGATGGAGAGAGACCAGCACTGTCCGGGGCCATCACTCACCTATGAGGGTGCTGCTGACCGTGCCCTTCCCTTGGCAGTTGAGCACGCGCAGGCTGCGTAGGCTGGCGCCCTTGGCCACACCAGCATCCCTGCCGCTGACCACCCCTGCCAGGTGGGTGCCGTGGCTGTCACACTTGCTGGCCTGCTCAACCAACATGAGGAAGACCCCCCACCATCCCATAACAGATCAGCAGGTGGCCCTTCCCACAACTGATGGCAAGGAGGGGACAGTGACAGCTGAGAAAGGGGGCAGCCCAGCAGTACAGCTGCAACGCTCCTGGGGAGCAGTCCCCACCCACCTCCAGGATGGGGATGAGGGCAGAGGCAGCCCTCATGTTGAAGGGCCGTGCTTACCTGTCTGTGGAAGCGGGTCCCATCCTCCTCGGGCACACTCCCAAAGTCAGTGACCATGACCCTGCCCTCAATTTCCCGGTGGCCACTCTGTATGCTGGTGTCTAGGAGATACACCTCTACCAGGCTGCCTCCGTCTTTCCAAGGTGACATTTAAGGGAGAGGAGGGAATGAGCGTGAAGTCAACCTTAACAGTTAACGCACAGTAAATACATTCACTCATTTAACCTCCAAAAAAATTCCTCACATGCTACATCCTATTCTGTATTTCACAGACAAGGAAAGGGAGGCCTAGAGAGAGCAGGTAACTGTCCAAGGCCGCCAGCTGGCAATGACACTGCCAGGAAGGACCCAAGTCATCCTGCTCCTTCACGTTAATGTCAATATGCAACAATAATATGAAGGTTCAAAAAATATCATAGTGTTAAGTAAACCAAGCCCCTATCGTAGCCTTTCACAACTCACTGAGCCTGAGAGAAAGACAAAATGTAAAGACTAAAAGGAGAGTAACAGTGATGTCTGGCCACCTGAGCCGGCCGGCTCGTTTTAGAGCGAGGAAGCTGCGCTCAGACAGGATGTGTGAGTGTGGGCCTCCTGGCCCCAGGTGCAAGTGCTCTCCACTCCACGAGGCATTGGGAGGGCTCACAGGAGCTGCCTCCGCCTCGCACGAGTCACAGCCTCAGAGAAAACAGTCACCGAGAGCCTACCCGACACTTCCTCAGCCCTAACTGGATCCATTTGGATTCTCCAAGAAGCAGGCACTGGGGTAGAAGCCGCAAGAGAACCACGGGGGGAGTCGCCTGCGCAGGACCAAGGTTGGGAGGACGTGGTGAGAGCTCACAGTTGCAAGGCAGGTCCAGCCCGCTGGACCGAGATGGGAGGCAGGAGGAAGGGAGGCAAGGAAGGAAGCACGTCCGCTTCAGCGCAGTTCTCAGAAACTCAGCCAGGCCAAAGGAAAACTTGAGGCAGGTTGGACGCACACAGAGTCCTGCGCCAGCGGAAATGGCCTGGCCCTGGAACCCCTGCAGCCAGGAGAAGCAGGGCCTCAGGTGGACCCAGAGGGCAACCCTGGGGGCTGTCAGTCAACCTGCTCCTGCCCCAGGGTCCTCCTGAGTCTTCTGAAGTGCCATCTGAGCAGCACCTCCGTGGACCCCACAGTGATCCTCCAAATATGCTGCAGAGTACAGATTCTCGTCTCAGGACAGGCGAGCAAGTGCAGGAGGCTCAGGGCGTGTACTCGCTTCTTATGGCTTCGGTAACAAATTCCCAAACTCAGCTGTGAAGGCTCCAGGGGAGAACCCTGCATCACCGCTTCTCGCTTCTGGTGGCTGCTGGTGCTCCCTGGCTTGTGGCCACATTTCTCCAATCTCCACCTCTATCTCCACGTGGCCCCTCCTGTGTGTCTCAAATCTCCCTCCACCTTTCTCTCATAAAGACACATCACTGGGCTTAGAGCCCACTGCAGAATCCAGATGATGCCATCTTGAGATGCTCAATTACATCTACAAAGACCTTTTCTCCAAATAAGGCCAGGCTTACAGGCTCTGTCTGCGTGCATGTGTCTGTGGGGCTGCTATTTAGCCCACTACAGAGCAATTCAGTGGCTGCTCTGAGATCCCACACTAATTTCAGGCAAGGTCAGCCCCTAGTCTTACTTCCTCCCGTCCATCCACTATGCCATTAGGGCTGGGCAAGGCAGTCAGTTCCCAGCCTGCACACACACTGTCTACCCTGCCCTACAGCCTCCAGTCTCGGCAGGAAGCTCCACTGATCAGTGCCCGTGAGCACTTTGGTGACTTCTATAGCATGCTGAGCAGGTCCTCAGCAGTCTACCTCTCCTCCCAGGCCACGGGATAAGGCAGAGTCCTTGCTCTCTGAGTGTGTTAGGAGTTTTCACTCATCAGCGGGCATCTGCCAGTGCCTGGTACTATGCCGGGAAGGAGTGGCTGAGAGTGCTGTGAGCTCCCACCTAAAGACATCGGAGACCAAAGGGTGCTGGTCCCCCTAGAGGAACCACTAGATATTGAGCTGGGCTGTGGAATGTCGAAGGGGCAGACACATGACAAGGTGGGTAGAGGCCTATAAGCCATGGCCAGTGTGCTCCTGTCAGAGGCCCCGTGCTGGCTGTGGGGGACGCAGGTGCTCAGGAAGCAGCCCAGGGTTCTCCCTCAGAGCTTCCAGGCTGACGGGACAACTGGATACATTGGCAGACAGCCTGCAGGACACAGGCTCATCTCCGCTTCCCTCCCTGGACAGAAGCCACGGAAGGCACATCAAGCAGAAGGCCCACTGGGCAGGCTTCCAGTCCATGCTCCTCGTGGGTGAGGAGTGAGCTGAGGCTGCAACTGCGTTAGCCCAGGTGAGAGTCCTTTCTGGGCCCACCTGTACTCGGGACCGCCATCTGCTCCAGGAGCTGTACCTGGGGTCCGCTGGAAGATGATGTGACCACGGTGAAGTCATATCCCTGGGCCAGCGGCAGGTGGAAGCTCGGGGAGGCAGCCCCACCCATCTAAATGCAGGTGGTTCCTGCCCGCCCACACCAGCCTGCTGTCCTGCTGGGACAGAGTCAGGAGGCTGCAAGCATGGCTAGCAGAGGGCAGGTGGGCCTGGCGAAGGGGCAGCTCTTAGTAAGACACTGCTAGGAGAGAGGCTGTAAGCCTGGAATGCCCACCCACGGCCCACGACCCCACCATGGCCTCCACATCTGGAGCAAAAGCGCAAGCCAAGACCCCTGCAGGAACCTCCTTGGGCTTCCTTCCAGTGAGAGGCTGGGAAGGGGCCCGGCTTGGATGGGACACAGGGCCCCCGGGCCATTTCCTAGACCCCCCTACATCTTCCAACCACCGCCCCCCGTGTGAGGCAGGGGCTGCTACTGTTGCCTTTGACAGCGTGGCAAGGTGGCCTCAAGAAGAGCCATCATTCTCAGGGGCAAAGAGGCCTTGGAGTGGCCTCTTCCAGCCTCTGGCTTGCTACACAAAGCTCTGTGGCCTCTGGCAGGTGGGAGCCCAGTCCTGCTTGCATATCTCCAGAGCAGGGAGCTCATCCCCTCTCACCAGGCAGCCGTGCCATGCCTAAGAAGCTCAGACTGTGGCCGAGCTCTTCCTTTCACAGCTGCCCTGGAGGCCACCCAGGCCCCGCTGGTCTCGCCTGCCTCAGTTCCTTCTGCACAGCTTCTGTCCTTGTTCATTCCTCTGCTGGCACACTGTCCCCTTTGCCTGGTTAATAATGGCCCCCGCAGGTCTTGGCTGGAACACACTTCCTCCAGGAAGCCTTTCCTGACCCCTCTGCCAGTTACACATACCCACAGCTGCCAGCACTCCTTCAGAGCTCTCAGCCCAACCAGAACAATTTGTGCCAAGCAGCATTTGTTTAAGGAATGGATCGATCTTCTGGATACACTGCTGGGGACAGAGACCATATCCCCCACGTTCACCTTTGTATCCCCAGCACCTAATATGGTGCCTAGTGCACAGTAGGTGCTCAAGACATTATTGTTGAATGGTAAAAAAGAAAGCAGGGCTAAAATCACAGCACCTCACTCAATACCTGACAGATAATTGCGTGCTACAGCAATAACTCATTTAACCCTCTAAACAGCCCCCCAGGGTGAGGGTTATCATTACCTCCCTTTTGCAGAGGAACCTGAGGCTCAGAGAGGGTGAGTGACGTACGCAAGGTCACACAGTTAAGAGTGCAGGGGCTGGGTCTGAGAGCGGCTGCCAGCTCCAGCGCCCATGCTCATGGCCTCCCCGTGAGTGAAGAGGCTGCTGCCCCACGCCAGCCCCGCAGCTCCGGGAGGACTTCCTCCAGCCGAAACCTTGATGTGACTCCCGAAGGGGTTCCACACCCCTGCCTGCCATTCCTGCCACTTCCCATAGCCACTCAGGGGAAGTGGGGAGGGGGTAATCCACGGGCGTCCTAGGGAGAGGAAGGGACCTCGTGTCTGCTTCTGGCCCAAGGGAGAGGAGAGAACGGTGGCTGCCAAAGAGATCCGCTCACATCGGAACCCTACGACCTGTGGCTGTGACCTGATTTGGAAAAAGGGTCCTTGCAGCTGTGGTTAAAGTTCTCCCCATGAGATCCGCCTGCATCATCCAGTGGACGCGAAATCCAACAAGAGTCCTTAAGAGACAGTGAAGAGGAGAGAGGCCCGGAGAAGGCTGTGTGAAGACAGACGCTGAGATGGGAGTGCTGCCGCCGCTGGGAGACGGAAGAGACAAGAGAAGCTTCCCCCCTGGAGCCCCCGGGGAGAACGCGGGTCCGCCGCAGTTGATGCAGGCTTTTGTCCCCCAGGACTGCAGAGAATCATCTTGTTCCAGCTGAGGGTGCGGTGCTTTGTCACAGCAGTGCTAGGAAGCTAACCTGGGGGGCAAGATCTCCTCGCTCTTCTGCCGGGACGGGGGTCTCGGTGACCCTCTGCCAGTGTCCCTCTCAGTCTCATATTAGCCTGCTCCGGGAGGTCCCTGGGGCACCGATGTGAAGTGCAGGGGCTCCAGGACTCCACTGAAGAGGTCTGGCCTGGTTGGAAAGGAACAGGCTCTTGCTACACAGGAGCCTGTCCTCTCCCTGGCCACAGGCGGCTCAGGCCAGGTCAGCACACACAACTAGCCATCTGCTGACACCCTTGCCAGAAGATGTCCCCCCCACACACCCTATCTCCACACCCTGCCCACCAGCTCTGATTGTCGCCATGGCAGCAACTCAGAAGTCCCCCAACTTGTCAGTTCCAAAAAATATTTGCACATCCTTCACCTCATTGGAGTCTCACAGCAACCTGTGAGGACAGGGACAGGGTTATATGCCCATTTTACAGATGAGGAAGGTGAGGCTCATAGAAGCAAGTGGCTTCCCAAGACCCCACAAGAACCAGTAAGGGTTGGAAGCTGAGTTCACCCCAAGCTCTGTGTCCTGGCCCCATGTTGCATGGACTCACCACATTGCATCGTCTCTGCACTGAGCCCCAGACCTCACATCATGGCACCTCAAACTTAACACAGTCCGGTGAGAACCCTTCAGCCTCTCCTCAGACCAGGTGCATGTAGTCTTCCCCGACTAAATAATTGCCACCTGCAAGGCCCTGCTAGAATGCAGACCGTTTTTCTTGGCCTCTCCTCCTCCCTCCCCCCATAGCCAGGCTACACCAGGCAGACGGAAGACACAAAGTGGCCCATGCAGGGAGCCCCACAAAGCCTAATGGAGCTGGAGGCAGGTGGAGCAGCACAACAGGAAGCTAGGCAGGGCCCCCAGACCAGGCTGCGTCTGTCCCTTCAGGATCTGGTCCAGTCTGCAGGGCACTGGGAGTTCTGGAGACCTGGGGGGTCTAGGTAGAGTCAGCATCAGATTAACCCTCTCCCCAAGGTAAGTGGAACCTGTTGGGCCATTCTGAATGGAGAGAAGAGGAAAACAAGAGAGAAGGAGGAAGAGAAGATGATTTAAGGAAAGACTTTTGCGTTTGTGGAGCAGAAGGCAGGCAGGCAGTGTGGGCTGCAGAGGTTGGGGATGGGACAGAAAAAAAGGGGTCAGTGGAGGTGCTGAGTCCCAGAGCCCCTGAGAGGTGGAAACCACCGGCAGGGAGGCGAGGCCAGAGCAGAGCAAACAAATTCAGCTTAGATGGGGAGGGAAGGCACAGAGGGGCATCTTACTGGGGGGCTGGTATTCATCCGCCCGGTACCGCGCAGGGGTAATCCGCTCCAGGTTCCACGGGATGCTCTGGGCAAAGACAGAGGAGTCCTCCTCGATGTAGTCAACATGGGGCAACTTCAGGGCCTGCAGAAGCCAGAGAGGCCGAGGGCCTCTGCTTAAGCCATTTGGACAGCAGCAAACACAGCCACAGCCCAGCCTCACCTGGTTAAACCTATCCCCACATCCCAGCCCAGCAGCCTCCCACCTTGTCCCAGCAGACCGCAGCCCTTGTCCCTGACTCCCTCCTGGTGCCCTGGAGGACAGACTGGAAAAGCCGGAGTTTTCTCACTCCTTGCTCAGGCTGGGAACCCAGCACTCCCATATCTCTGCAACGCAGCCTGGCACAGAGGATTCCTTTTAGAGAGGATTCTGAACTTGACATCTCGTCTGGGAGCCAGGCTGTGCCAAGGCTCTGGGCAGGACAGACATGGAGTGAAGCTCAGGCCCTGGACTCCATGCCTGAATCGTGACATAACAGCACTGGCAATTCTGTCTGTCCTCCAGTCTATTCCCATCCTTCTCCCGCCTGCTCAGTGCAAACTGCAGCACGAGCTCCCTGGCACAGCTTTCAGCTGGGCTCAGCCAATGCGAGGCACCAGCAGGAGCTGAAGGGACAAGAGTGCATCTGCGACCGGGAGTAATGACTCATGCCTGGAATCCCAGCACTTTGGAAGACCAAGGCGGGCAGATCACCTGAGGTCAGGAGTTTGAGACCAGTCTGGCCAACATGGTGAAACCCCGTCTCTACTAAAAATACAAAAATTAGTCTGGCATGGTGGTGTATGCCTCTAATCCCAGCTACATGGGAGGCTGAGGCATGAGAATCGCTTGAACCTGGGAGGCGCGGTTGCAGTGAGCTGATATTGTGCCATTGCACTCCAGCCTGGGTGACAGAGACTCTGTCTCAAAAAAAAAAGAAAAAAAGTGTGCATCTGCCCCATTCCCTCACAGCCACGTGACTCCCTGCACTTGGCAGTGCCGAACCCTCAGCTGACTCCCCATGGGCAGCCTCTCCATGCCACCAGCTCCAGCTGGGCAGAGGGAAAACTATTCCCACTCCTTACCCTTTAGACCTAGGTGGTAACAACTTCCTGCCATAACTGGTCCCTGGATGCCTTGCTATCCCCAGAGGCTTCTTAACCTGCCCACACTTCAGCGGGTACCTAGCATCTGCTGAATGCTTCACAATCTCATTTAGTCCTTAAAAGAATGTTCCCATTATTATGCCTGATTTACAGATAGGGGAGTGAGGCTCAGAGAGGTGAATGCATTTGTCCAGGGTTAGACAAACCAATAAGGGGCTGGGTGGGATTCGAGCTAGGCTGGTAGGATACCCAGCTTGAAGCCTGGCTCTTGATGGCAAATGTCTGCAGCCTTCTGCTCCACCTCCTCTCCTCTCAGCAGGTGCCCTGGCCTGTGGGGCTTGTGCCTGCCATCTGGTGCGATGCGGGCACCTTCTTCGCCCCTCCCCAGTGCTGAGCACATTGTCCCATAGCCAGCGGTACTGGCAGCCGCTGGTCAGCCTCTCCTCCTGAACTGTAAGCTCAAGGGAAAGGCCTGGGCTGTGTCACATTCGCCTCTGCAGCACACAGCAGGCACTTGGGAAATGTGTGTCAAGTAGACTGTTGGAAGGCATTGACTTGTCAGCCTCCTCTGCTTAGGTGCCAGGTTCCCAAGGCAGGGACCCTGTCAATCCCTGTCATGGCCCCACAGGCCTTGGCATGCGGTAGCTGTTCAGCCACTGGATGCTGAGCTGACTACCCATGGGGCAGCAATGCAGTGCAGCTAGGAGACCCAGGTCCAGACCCTGACCTGCCCATCACACTGTGTGACCTTGGACAAGAGCCTGCGCCCCGCTGTCTGCAGGAGGCTGAGAAGCACCCACTCCCTCCATGTGGAGAATCAGTGTGAAAATGACACATGTTCTCATCAAGAGGCCAGGGAGAGGGGTGGGCTAGAAGGTGGGACAGAAACAAACCAAGAAAGTTTTTTTTTAAGATTTGAAGCATTAGGGCCAGCGTGAGGAGAATACCCAGTCCCCTTTCTGCCCTTCCACCAAAGATGTGACATCCAGGAGGGAGGAGAGCCACCCTGTCCTAGAGAAGGAACTTTAAGGAGCAGCTTCAATGAAATTTTGGACCCTTGAGTCATGCTTTTTTATCAAATGACTCAGGCTCCATTGAACATCCCAGGGCCTATCCCTATGGGTTCCCATAGGTAGCAGATGCATTGGCACAAGAATGGCTGGCAGGCAGACCACTGGGTTTGATCCAGACTCTACCCCTAGCCATCTGTGTGGTCCCTTCTGAACTTTGGTCTCCGCATCTTCAAATGAAGATGGACATACCACTGGGGCATGGCCAGGCTTAAAGGGCATTCTATACAGAAAGCCAGCAGTTGCTGTCCTTGGTACCCAGTAGGTGCTCAATGCATACTTGCTGTCCCCTTCTGATTTTCAGCAATGGGCCTACTAAGCGGAGTGCCCAGCATATATGCAGTGGCCCAACCCTGTCAGGAAGTGCCATTTCCAAAAAGGGTGGCTCACCAGCTCCAGCAGGTCGCGGCTCATCTTCACCAGGAAGCCAGGAAGAAGGTCGTGGAAGACATGCAGGAGCTTGATGAGGTATCCCCGGCGGGCAGCTTGGGCCTGCAGGCGGCGGGCGGTGCGCTCTGGCTGCGAGCGGTGGGTCTCTTCCTTCAGCACCACCACATAGGTGCCAGGCAGCCTCCAGGGCTCCTGACCCCAAGCAAGGAGGAACACAATGACATGGAAGAAACCCAGCAAACCCTACGTGTACTTTATCTCACCCCTACTTACAAGTTAGAATTGCAACAAAAGAGACACCACAGAGTATAGGAAATGATAAAGAAGTTACCAAATGCAGACCAAAAAGCAAATTAAAAAACTCATATAGGCCAACTATCATTATTCACATAGTTATAGAACACCTCCAAATGTGGCAGTCAGGCAGGAATAGGAACCATGAGCCACACTCAAAAGCAGGTTCTCCTCTGTACCTGCACCCAGCTCTCTATGGGCCTGGCCACCCCCTCCCCCACGCCCCAATTAGAATAAATTGAGGGAGAAACTCATGGGCTTGGAAGCCAGAAAACCATGGACCTGAATTCCAGCTCCAATATTTACTGGCTGTGCGGCCATGAGTAGATCACTCCACCTCTGAGCCTCACATAGCTCCGCCGTATTGTAGAGACCGTAGTACCTATGACATAGGTCTGCTGGGAAGGTCAGGAGTGACGGTAGTATAAATCTCCCAGCTGAATGCTCTAGAAATGCAGGCAGAAGGGATGATGAAGTGAGCAAAGGCAACAATTCTTTTTTTTTTTTTTTGAGATGATATTTCCCTCTTGCCACCCAGGCTGAAGTGCAGTGGCGCAATCTTGGCTTATCGCAACCTCCACCTCCCAGGTTCAAGCGATTCTCCTGTCTCAGCCTCCTGAGCAGCTGGGATTACAGGAGTGCGCCACCATGCCCAGCTAATTTTTTATTTTTAGTAGAAACAGGTTTCTCCATGTTGGTCAGGCTGGTCTCGAACTCCCCACCTCAGGTGATCCGCTCGCCTCAGCCTCTCAGAGTGCTGGGATTACAGGTGTGAGCCACTGCACCCGGCGGCAACACTTCTTAAATTTAGACAGAGTAGTCAGGGCCACTGTCTTAATTCTCTCGTGTTGCTATATAAAGGAATACCTGAATGTGGGTCATTTATAAGGAAAAGGGATTTATCCAGCTCCTGGTTCTGCAGGCTCTCCAGAAAGCATGGCACCAGCATCTACTTCTGGTAAGGGCCTCAAGCTGCTTCCACTGATGGCGGAAGGTGAAGGAGAGCCTGCACATGTGGAGATCAATCACGTGGCAGGAGAAGAAGCAAGAGAGAAGGGAGGGGGGTGCCAAACTCTTTTTAATAATCAACCTTCAAGGGAAATAAGAGGGAGAACTTACTCATTATCACAAGGATGGCACCAAGCCTTTCATGGAAGTTCCTCCCCCACGACCCAGACATCTCCCATTAGGCCCCACTTCCTATACTGGGGAGCAAATTTCCACATGAGATTTGAAGGGGACAAACAAACTAGAGCAGTCACTGTCTGCAGATGATGCATTTGGTTTTACCTCTTGTCTGCTCCAACTGCTCTCAAGCAGACACACCTGCTCAAGAACAGGAAGAAAGAACTGGCTCCCCACTGCCTAATGCAGTCATCCCCAAACTTTTTACACAGGGGGCCAGTTCACTGTCCCTCAGACCGTTGGAGGGCTGCCGCATACTGTGCTCTTCTTACTGACCACCAATGAAAGAGGTGCCCCTTCCTGAAGTGCGGTGGGGGGCCGGATAAATGGCCTCAGGGGGTCACATGTGGCCCACGGGCCATAGTTTGGGGACGCCTGGCCCAATGGATCGAGTCCAAACTCCATGCTCCTCCTGGGCCGCTACCCCAGCTCACCTTTGCAGCCTCATCACCCACATCTCTGTATATATGCATCTTGGATGCCAGTCAGAGTAGAACAGAGTCCACCCCATTACCCAAAGCCTTAGGGCCAAATCAGCTTTGAACCTCAGACTTGTTTGGATTTTAGAAAGGCAGTAATGAGCAATCAGAGAGTCTGCTTGGAGGAATCTGGAGCTGCATCTGTAATCTGTGCAGCAAAATATATGAATATGCATATGCACACACATGGATTAAAAATCATCTCATGGCAGTTCATGTCAGGTGCTACCATCAATCAAATCACAAAAAAAACCTTTCAGTTTTCAGAACATTTTACATTTCAGAAGATGGATAAAGAACTGTGGAGGCTGGGTGTGGGGGTTCACACTACAATCCCAGCACTTCGGGAGGCCGAGGTGGGCAGATCACCTAAGGTCAGGAGTTTGAGACTGGCCTGGCCAACATGCTGAAACCCCATCTCTACTAAAAATACAAAAATTAGCCAGG